ATAGACATGTCTATCTGGCTGAACTGGACCAGTGTCAGTATGGAGCGAGATGGAAGAAGCCCACACGGCTCCTCTGTGCACACGTGAATCACGAAGATATAATTAAGCTCACCCGTCGATGCCGACCAAAAGGCTGTATATGTTCTAAGACTGGGAAACCCCATTGGCAACTCAGCGGCGGGGGGCCAGGCGGCCTCCGCCGTACCCGCATTGCTTCTGAGTACCCTCCTGGTCTGGCACGAGCAATGGTCTCTACCCTTTTAGCTAGTACTGTTGAAAAGCGAGCTTGTCACTCCCACCCTTTCTCTCCCCACCCTAGCGAACATCCTACCTGGATAGCTTCGGGATGATTTGGGAGATTGAGTTTTAAGGCATGCCTTTAAGCTCAAAGCCTCTGGCCATGACGAGTCCAGAGTTTCGCTAGATTCAGTCTCCGCAAGAAAAATGGGACCGTTGCTCTGGAGGTTTTAGAACGGGTTGAGCAGAGGGGCCATACGTGTGATGTTGGGCAAATAGAATATGCTGCCTGTCACTGGTGTGCACTCGCCAACACCCTGCTGCCTATCTCCGCTCAAGTTGTTTTTGGTCTCCCGCCCCCCCAACCCTCGGGGAGATTGAGTTTTAAGGCATGCCTTTAAGCTCAAAGCCTCTGGCCATGACGAGTCCAGAGTTTCGCTAGATTCAGTCTCCGCAAGAAAAATGGGACCGTTGCTCGTTTTTTGCCATCACCACCGCCCGCACACAAGTCATATATTCGGCCTCGTCCTTCGGGTTCGTCTGGTCCAGCACCTTGTTCAGAATGTCCTCGAACCAGGTGCCGTGGCCCTCGGCGTGACCAACCTGCTCGTGAGCCTCCCCTGCCGCGTCGCTGACCTCCGCGCCCTGCCTCTCGAACGCGTCGACGATCTCCTGGCCCAGGTTGGTCTTTCCAGCGTCGCACTTGAGAAGTGCAGGAGGTCCATACGGCTGGCTCCAGCCGTTCTCAAAGAGCTCCTTCAGCACCTTGCCGGTCTCCTGCGCGAAAAAGGGTAGCATCTGCTGGAGACCGCTGCTGGGGCACACGACGTTCAGGGCCTTCACCTTCATCCCTTCCTTCCAGCCTGGCAGCTCCTTCACGTCCAGCTCGACCAGCCTCAATGGCGCCATCTTCGACGGCACCTTCACTGGCCGCACGGCCTTGGGAAGCCGCCGTCCTTCGCAGATTGAGCAGGAAAGCGTCCGCGCCAGGGCCAACACCATCTCACTCGCCTTGGCGTGCTTCAGGATCCTGACCATGTCCTCATTGCTCGGGTGGCCGAGGTTAGCGTGCAACCTCCTGAGGGACGCCTCGAGCGATAGCTTCCGCCGCTTGATGACCTCATCGTCGTCGGTCGTCGTCAAAACGTCGGCCGTCTGGGAGACGCAGTCCACCTCCAGCTGACTTGCCATTGCGCCAGCTATCTTCCTGCAGAGGTCCTCCGGGTACTTCTCCGAGAACGCGCTCCTTTTGATGCCCTTCGAGCTATCCCAGCACCACTGATGCTCATGATCACGAGGACAGCGCAGCTCCTTCAGCGTCCACTTGAGCATGTCCGCGTTGGTCGCGAAGCACCACTCCTTGGACATCAGCTTCTTTGTCACCGGATCTTTCAGACCCACTTGGCAACCACTGACCGACACGCGGTGCACTCCCACCACCCGACACAGGCCCAGAACCGAAGCACAGTCCCAGGATCTCGCCGTCGGCGGTGCCTCGAGCGCGAAGTAGCGACCTCCTCGGATCTGCATCCGAGCCACCACCACACAGAACCTCAGGTACCCGACCGCTTCCCTGACTGCCTGGCGATACTTCTCCGGGTCCCGACGCACTTCCGCCACCGTCAGATTCTGCAAAATCGAGAGGGGGCCGCGCGGAGGGCTCATGCCCACAAACTCCGGCTCCTCGACGTCGACCATGTGTAGGATCTTGTGGCGGTCGGCTGCTCGACGGGCATCCCAGCCGTTCTGTAGGTCGAACGCACCGAGGCTCTGGACCCCCATGGACTCTAGGGCGGGGGTCACCCGCGGCACCGAGAAGATCTCCAGGCACTTCGGTCGGCGGCCCAGCCGGGCCTGCGCCTCGAGAACACCCCTGACCACCGTCCGCTTGGCCCGTCAACTCATGATATCGGTAACACCCTCTGACCACAGGACGTCGGTGTCGTCCCAGTCGCCGTCAGCCTCAGGGCCCCAGCTCGGCCCTAGCGAAAACCCGACGACGCCGCCGCGACGAACTCCTCGTGTTCCTGCTGCTCCTCCGCTGTCAGCCCGTCGTCCTGCTCCGCCGTCACCATCACGTCGATCTCAGCCGTCTGGATCCTCCTGCCGCCCTCGTTCGTCATCTCGCACAGGTTCAGCTGGTAGTGGCCGCTGGCCGCGACCCGGAGCGGCACCGTGACGTTGATCCGGGCGAACCGAATCTCGTCCCGCTCCATGTCCAGCTGCGCGCCGAGGGCCTTGAGCATGGGCTTGCTAACCAGCAGCGGGGTCCCGCCTGGGACGACGCGCAGGCGGAGCACCAAGAGGCGACCGCCCACTCGGCACTGCATTTCCGCGGTGTAGATCGACTCCAGGGTCTCCTGGTTGCCGAAGCGGAAGGTCGTCGCTTTCGTCTGCTTGATCGTCTTCACCGCGAGACCTGCTTTCTCCATCTCCACCTTGTGCTCCTTGAGGGTCTTCTCGCCGATGACTCCCTTGCCGCGCCCAGTGTCGACCGCGCCCGACCCCGGCTCGTGAGCCGACGCCGTCAGCACCTCTGGCATGTCCTCGTCCTTGGGCATCGCGGTCAGCCTGCGGTACGCCTCGATCACGTCATCCATGTCGTCCCTCGCCGCCGTGTACGCCTCGTACAGGTCGTCTATGTCCTGATCCTCGTCCTCCTCGTCAACCGCCAGCTCGCAGTCGCACTCGTCGTCGTCGCTGCAGCCGCCGCCGTGCAGGGGCCGCTGGAACTCGTCCTCGCACACGTCGCACTCGAAGGTCTCCTCCTTGTCGACGTCCTCGGTCCTGCCGTCGCCGGCCACGAAGACGCCCTCGTCCGAGTCGCTCTCGAGGACCGTGACCACGTCGCCGCGCTTCTCGCCGTCCTTGCCCTTGTGCTTGTGGTCCCGTGGCGGCGGACGGCGTTGACGTCGTGGCTTCTTGCAGTCTCTGCTGAAGTGACCGACCTCGTCGCAGTTGTAGCATCGCACTCGCTTCGCCATCGCCTTTGTGTCCGGCTTCTTCGGACCGAAGCCCCGAGCCAGCTGCTCCTTCGTTATCTTGTTGCGCTGATCGCGCCAGGACACCAGTATCTCGATGGCCTCACTCTCGTCCAGGATGTCCCCGTCCTCGGTATCCTCAATCACGTCGAAGCCCGCCAGCAGCGCCGTGATGTCCGCGACGTCGTCGCTCTCGTCGGCCTCCTCTTTCGCCACGTGCGCTCCGAACGCCTTCGACTGCTGGCCGAAGTCCGCCAAGCCGTTGGGGTAGGTCGTCCTGGGCGCCATCGCCACGTCCTTCTCCTTGTACGATCGGCCCGATGCCGCCAGGACGACCGCGAGGTTCTGCGGCGCCAGGTGCACACCCAGCAGCAGCAGGTACCCACGCGCCATGTCCGGCAGCACTACGCCTTCAGTCTCGCCCTTGGCGAACGCCGCCTGAGCGCGTCCACAGTAGGCCGCCATCGACTCGCCCCTGGCCAGGCGAATCGTGAACACCTCCTTCAGCGCCTCTCCGAGCCGGTCGTGGGCTGCCACGTCGGGGAAGCGTGAATCGAGTGTCTCGAAGATGTGCTGCTCGCCGCCCTCTTGCTCCAGATCGTCCACGTCGACAACCTCCAGCGCTCGGGCGGCGACGTCGTCTAACAGCGTGAAAAGCATCGGCCCTAGGGCCGTCGCAGGCGTCCCCTTCGCCTTCTGCACGATGAGGTACGCCCGCGCCCATTTCTTCCAGGATCGGTAGTCCCGAAAAGCGTCGGCTCCATTCCCGGCGAACCTCCTGATCGCGCCGCCGGGGCCCCCGTTGTCCGTGTTCATCACCTTCTTCTGGCGTCCCGCCGGCACTCGCCCGAGTGCCTCCCGGTGCGACGGCGCCTGCTATCGCGCGGCACGCTCCGCTCTACCAATGCAGATTGGGCTTCGAGGAGGGAGCGCCTGCACCCTCTTTTCCACACCTGTGGCAAGCCAAAATGCTGCAGCATCAACACGCACGTGCACAACTGAAACAGACATACCAAGGCCTCCCCGGGCCCTGAGATCAACAGGAGGGGACAATGAGGGAAGGAGGAGGAGTAGCAGGGGAGGAGGAAGAGGAGGGGGGAAAGAGGAGGACCAGGAAGAGGTGTCGTTTTCGGCCTACTCGGGCCGCCTGGTGGTGAGGAACGCCCACAAGCATTTCGAACGACGACCCGCGAAACTCGACGAAGAACTGAAATGCATTCAGCCTTCGCCCCCCTGTCGGTTGTTTGGCCGTTGCCCCGGACTAAGCTAGAACCTAATCGCGCGCGTAGCGCGCGGGTGGTTCTAGTGTATCTATATGCGCATATTCACACATATATATATATATAACACATAAATGTTGAATTGTGTGTGGCGATTGTAAAATATACTTGTGCGTGGGTCGTACTTTCTACTCGTATGCGTATATACATGCATATGTATAGAAAGAGAGAGAAAGAGAGAGAGAGAGAGAAAGAGAGAGAGAGAGAGAGAAATACATACACAAACAACATGCACCAACTCAGACATGCACGAACGATTGAGACATAGCGAGAGAGAGAGAGAGAGAGAGCGAGTGAGAGAGAGATAAGTAACCAACACACACATGGGAAATTCGTAAGCTCGACGGACAGCGTGGACATGGGAAGGGGCAGTTTTCATCGCGAGGCTGCGGGCGAGAGAAGATGGGGCACGCGCAGGTGGAGAGCGGGTGGAGGGGCTGCTGGGGTGGGCACGCGCACACACGGTCGAGCGCGCGGAGAATTTGACCCAGCAGTGCCGCAGGCTCTCCCTGGCTCTTCGTCGGTGACGACGACACCTTCGTCTGGCCCGATGCGCTCCGAGACCGCCTGCAGGCCTCCGGCTGGCTCCCCTTGGCCGAGCCACTCGCGCACCCTGCTGCTGCTCTTCGCTTTTCCGGGCCCACTGGCGCCCATCCCCCTTGCCCTCCTCCTCCTCCTCCTCCTCCTCCTCCATCCCCCTTGCTCCCCGCGTGTCTCCGGAGACTGCCGACTGCGTGATTTGCTTCGCGGTGTGGGGCCCGAGGGCATCCGATCCCATCCCTGGAGTCGGCTCGCCGCCGTCCACCCTTCCCCCAGGACCCCGACGCCGTGACCGCTGGAGGACCAGTTCTCACTCCATGATGTGCTCTGGAGCTCTGGGGGACCGGGTACTCATGGCCCCAAAGTGGCCGAAGATCTCCAAAGCATTCAAGTGATTTGTTGCGCGACGAGAGGGTGTCTGAGCTTCTTTCCATATCTTCGGCTTGAGACCACCCGCATGCGAGCGGAGTGGCTCGCATGGGGCGGTGAATCTTTGGACGTGCTGGCACAGGAGGCGTGTTCACCAGAGGATCTATGTAAGTAGCACCCAGCAATTGCGGATAAGGGTGAGGGGGCGGGCGCGGGGCGGATCGCGGGTGGGTCGCCGGCGGGTCGCGGGTGGGTCGCGGGGTGGGTCGCGGGTGGGCCGCGGGCAGGGTCGCGAGTGGGACGACGAGAACAGCATCGACAATCATTTTAAGATTTGTCGGTCTTACCTGCCCGCGTGCCATCAGCACATGTATCCCAAACCCTCGATACCCGCCCTCTTCGCCTTCCCTCTTGGGGGTATCTCTCCTATACCTGCCACGTGTAATTGGAGCAGCCCCGAAAGCAGGAGAACAGAGGACGAATTAAAGGGGGAGGCAGAAGTATTGTACACGAGAGAGAGTAGTAGGAGGATGGCTAGGAGAAGAAAAACCGTGGCAGAACCAGACGGGCTGATCGGGCGGATAGACCCATGGGCGTGTCGAGAAGGCGGGCCCAGGCGGCCAGGTCGAGCAGGCGGGTTGCTGAAGCGTGAGTCCTCAATGAATCAAAAGGAAGTCTCGAGCGATAACACGATTTCCAAGTAAATCGTTAGAGCAGCCAGAGCGAGAGCGCAATTCCTGAGCGTCGAAGGCGCGGTGTTTGAATAAGTTGTGAAGGAGTCCAACGCGAGAGCGCAAGTCCTGCAGACATTGTGAGGAGTTCCTGCGCGAGAGCGCGATTTTGAAATACAGCAGGCGAGGAACGATCGGGCGGGAGCCGTTGTTGATGTAGTTCACGGGCCAGGGGCCCGACATGAGGAGGAATATTTTCTTTATAGAAGACAATGCGGGCCCAGAGATGAGCGTTTGAATTGAACATCACCACGGGCACCGGGCACGGGGGATCCGGCATTACGTATCCTCACGAAATGAGAGTTCAACAAATAACAGCAATCCGCACCGCAGAAGCCCACTCCAGTCACTCCAGCCACGCACCCGAGGACAGCGAATTGCCGTTCGCCCCCCCCCACTCTGATCGACCTGTTCTCCGACCGTGCCGACTGGCGCGCACTGTAGAACAAATGATCTTCTTCCGCCTCCGCCTCCTCCTCCTCCACATGAGCCCAAACATCAGCGAGTTCAGCGCGGAGCTCCCAGGTTCAGCGGCGAAAAAAGTGAAGGCAACGAGGAGGCGGTGGTCGCAGCGGCGCCATTCTCCCCCTGGAGAAGGCAGCGGGCGACCTCCCGAAGATCGACCGCCGCCTGCTTCTGGGAGGGGAGTGTCGACGGCGACGACGACGAAGGCTTCGTCGTCGTCGTCGACTTCGTTCGAGCGCTCATGGATCTAATCTCGTCAGGTCAAGGGGCCGCGGAGGGCTCTGGAGGCCTCGCATCAGGCCTCCGCGGGGACGTCCTCTGGGGACAGCCAGGGGGTCTCGAGAAGGAGGCCGCAATCTATGCCGTCGGGGTCTGGCGAAGGATCCGCGGAAGCTGGCGACCCAGGTGCAGCGGGTTGTTGTGTTTTGTTGTTGTTGTTGTGGTTTCGGTTGTGGTTGTTTTTGTGTTTGTTGTTGTGGTCGTTGTGGTTTGTGCTTGTTGTTGTGGTTCGTGTTGTGATGGTGGTTGTGGTTGTGGTGTTGTGATAGTGGTCGTGGTTATCGTCGTCGTCGTCTTCGTCGTCGTTGTTGTCGTCGTCGTCGTGGTCGTCGTCGTTGTTGATGATGATGTCGTCGTTATCGTTGTCGTTGTCGCTGTTGCCGTTTTTTAGTTGTCAACAATATGTATTGTTGATACCCCCTGCCAGGTACCATTCTGTATCTTTCAATCGAAATGTTCCTTCTGGGCCCGCAACTTTTTTGTCGAAGGGAAAGCGAAGTGTCACGACACTGGGTAGTTGGCCTCTGGTTTACAAGAACAGCGGCTCCCGCCTGATACTTCCTAATAAGTTATTTCCAGATCGCGCTCTCGCGCGGAACGCCATCACAATCTATACAGGGATCGCACTCCTTGCGATCCATGCAGTAATCACGCTTCAGCAACCCGCCTGCTCGACCTGGCCGCTTGGACCCGCCTTACCGACCTATCCGTTAGGTTCTACCCGCCCAATCAGCCCGTCTGGTTCTGCCGCGTGTGTTCTGTTCCTAGCCCCCTCCTGCTACTATCGCTCGTGCTCCATCCTGCTTTCCCCCCCTTGTCCCTTTCTCCCATCCGTCCTCTCTTCCTCTGCCTTTGGGGCTGTTTAAATTGAAATGCTTCCCCCGGGGCTCGCACCCGGTTTTTACAAGTGAAAGTCACAAGGGACAAATTGCGCCCCTGGCCCCTGGGTTACAACAACAACGGCTCCTGCTTGAGAGTTCCTCACATGTTAACCAGGGCCCCTGCTCCCGCCTGAGACTTCCAAGCATATGACTCAGGAATCGCGCTCTCGCTTGGCAATTCCTCACAATTTATGCAGGGATCGCTCTCTCGGCGCTCTTGAGTCGCGCTCTCGCTGGAGATTTGCTTGCAAATTGCTGAAGAATTCAGGAGTTGCGCTCACGCCTAGGACTCCCTAACAGCTTACTCAGGAATCGGGATCTCGCTGCCCTTCGTGGCCCCGTTGCAGCCCTTCGTGGCCCCCTCGCTGCCCTTCGTGGCCCTGTTGCAGGCCTTTGTGGCCCCCTCGCTGCCCTTCGTGGCCCCGTTGCAGCCCTTCGTGGCCCCCTCGCTGCCCTTCGTGGCCCCGTTGCAGCCCTTCGTGGCCCCCTCGCTGCCCTTCGTGGCCCCGTTGCAGCCCTTCGTGGCCCCCAGCCCTCCGTGGCCCCGTTGCAGCCTTTTGTGGCCCCCTCACTGCCCTTCGTGGCCCCGTTGCAGCCCTTCGTGGCCCCCTCGCTGCCCTTCGTGGCTCTGTTGCAGCCCTTCGTGGCCCCCTCGCAGCCCTTCGTGGCCCCCTCTCTGCCCTTCATGGCCCCGTGGCAGCCCCGTTGGAAGAGCAGCCACGGGAGATGGTGCGATTCCGCGTGTCCTCATGGAACTCAGCGAGAAGGCACGACATCCCAGTGTCGGTGACATGCGCAATGGGGTATAGCCAAGGCCAAGCGGCGCATTCCACGCCCTTGAGGGTGATGAGAAGGTCGAGGGTGCGGATGTTCTGCCCATGCTGATCAGGGTTTGTATGCGTGCGATTCGAATTTTTGAGTATAGCCCTATATAAACCAGTGTTCTTTAATGGGCCACCAGAAAGCCGCCTTGGAACGGGCAGTGGGGAGGCAGCTCTCGTCGACGATGTGAGGCGCATAGAAACCAGTGCCGACCCATGTCTTTTCCAGGTCTTACACTGGCTCGGCACAATCGGTTTGGCGCTGAAGAGCTCCTGCTCCTTCCGAGCGTGAGTGAGGATACCTCGTAGGGCCTCTTCCCCGGCGTCCGCAGAATCTACGCACGTGCACCCCTCCGCGGCCAGCATGGGAAACTCCGTCGCAGCGGGCACGAGCCGAGGCCACGACACCACCTCGTCAGCCCAGGTGGAGGGCATGCTCAGGCCTACTGGCGGTGGGCGAGGAACGCGGCTGGACCTAAACGGTGTTTTTTGGAGAGTTCGTGGGCCGTTTTCGTGTCGATGTCGTGTTGCGGTAAAGGCAGACTGAAGACAAAACGAGGAAAATCGACAACAGGACGAAAACGGAAAACACCGTTTAGGTTCAGCCGTGGCGATGAACGCAGTACAGCTGCTGCGTGCGCAGAACCGGTTCCATCCTGTCGGCCCCGATGGCAGCGGCAGCCGCCGCCGCCTTGGCCTTGGCTGCAGGCTTCGCCTTGGCGGCGGCCTTGGCACGAGCTCTGGCTCGGAGAGTGCGCGTGGCCATCTCTCCAGAGTGCGCAACAGGCCGGGTGTGTTCAGAGGCGTGCGCCTGCCACATGCGTGCTCTGCAGAGGCCGAGGGCTTGTACATGCTCGGGCTCGTCCACCGGTGCGACGTCGGCCCAAGCTTTGCGTGGCCAGACTGCGGCTCTTGGTCCGACGGGATTTCCCGACGGACGCGTTGCAGGTCGGAGGCCTGGGAAGAAGCAGGCGTGCCGTTGTATAGACTCTTGCAACCATCGTCGTTGAAAGAGAAGCACCCGCAGCTGGGGCACTGTTGCCAGCTACCGTAACAAGCCCAGGTGGCGAAGTCTGTGTCGGACAGCTTCTCGGAGAAGCCACGATGCTGCTCGCCCACGCTGGAGCCAGCCCAGTTCTCGCACGAGTGCACGCCCCCGCAAAGATTCATGGTGTGAGCGACCGCCACGTTCCAATCGGCACTGTTCGCAGGGAAGCAGACGATGTTGTCGAGGGTTGTGACCTCTTCACAACACTGTAAGATTGTGTCGTTGAGTTAGTCGTAAGTGGTGTCCCTCAGGAGTTTGCCGGCGGACTATGGCAGAGGCTCGCCGTTCTGCACACGACGTATGGCCTTACGAAATGCATCGACCGAGTTGCGCTGCAACTGGGAGGCTCAGAGCTGTCATGTTATTGTTGTAACTACTCGTTCGCCCGCGCGCGGAATGCACCACGAGGGGGCCCAGAAATCACCCCAGCAAGATCTTG